ATGTATCATATAGCAGTTTGCAATAGTGCTCTCATGTGCAAGCTAAATGGCAGGAATTTATAGAAAATGGCAAGTATATTTATAATAAAATAATGCTGATTCAAAGAAAAAAAAAAAGGCAAAAAAGTGACAATTCATAAGCATGTTTCAGGAAGCTAGGCTAGGTGTGTGACTAGTTAATAGTTCCAGTTGGTCTGAAACGTCCAATGTGCGGGTTATTTGCGTATAGGTTAGGTAAGGTTCGTCAGGAAACAGGACAAGTGTTTCCTGACGTGGGTTTTAGTCATGTTATGACCCGCAGCTGGAGCTTTTGGTCATCTGACTGAGTCCTTCTGCTGGCTTACTGGTCCACCGCTTTAAAAATGATGGTTATGATTATAACCATTAGAAGCTAGTCATATCAAACTCTATACTCACCTATGTGAAAAAACATTCCACGAACACTTAATATTGAATATTTCCTATTTATGATGACCATTTCAAAAGAAAAGGAATATTCTAAGAGCTAGTAATATTAATGTTAGATAAGATTATGGTAAATGTTTCAAAGGACAGCCTATAGAGTTGCAATTGCGAGGTAGACCATTCGATCCTCAATACTCCTTACTCATCTTGCCAAACTCAGTTTGAGCCTATGGCTAGCTAGTCCTAGAACTTACAGGCCATTGCACTATCCACTACCATGCTGGCGGGCATTTGTGGTCACAATGAAGCCTATACTAACCTTCTACGGTGCATAGAAACAGAACTAGCTGGATAGATTTTAACAGGCCAGCATGGTACAGCGGATAAGACACTAGTCATGGGCATGCCACAAGTTTCAACCTTCCATCAGGAGATTTCTTTATTTTCAATCTTGTCATTACAATTTCTCAAGTCATCCTTTACAAATTTTGTTACCGTTAGGATATCGAGATTCTCATTCTAACTTACAGGAAGGATTACGATAACACTTGAAGCAAGAGAAATTATTTCAACAAGTTTATTTTATTTTTATTATCACACTGGCCGATTCCCACCAAGGCAGGGTGGCCCGAAAAAGAAAAACTTTCACCATCATTCACTCCATCACTGTCTTGCCAGAAGGGTGCTTTACACTACAGTTTTTAAACTGCAACATTAACGCCCCTCCTTCAGAGTGCAGGCACTGTACTTCCCATCTCCAGGACTCAAGTCCGGCCTGCCGGTTTCCCTGAACCCCTTCATAAATGTTACTTTGCTCACACTCCAACAGCACGTCAAGTATTAAAACCATTTGTCTCCATTCACTCCTATCAAACACGCTCACGCATGCCTGCTGGAAGTCCAAGCCCCTCGCACACAAAACCTCCTTTACCCCCTCCCTCCAACCTTTCCTAGGCCGACCCCTACCCTGCCTTCCTTCAACAAGTGTACTATTCAAAATTCTTGTGTTCTCCGGCACACGAGAGTACAAGATATACCAGGAGACCCCATAGTCCATGCAGAGGCTAGTTGCTGACAAAGACAGCTCCAGTCTAGCTACCTCTAATTCTGTCTAGATGAAGAATTATGTCAATACTGTGACTGGAACAATGCACAAATAACCCGCACATAGGAAGAAAACTTGTGATGACTTTTTAATCAGACCTGAACCATTAGTCACACACTATTCAGTGGTTCCAGTCGGACTGAAACATCATAAATTTCTTTCTTCTATGTGAAGGTTGTGTACTGTCTAGATAAATTAAGATAGTATAAAATATGATCTCAGTATTCTGATTACATCAAATCCAGGCTGAGAGACTGATTACCTCAAATTCCTAATCTTCACTATTCTTCTTTATATTGGACTTAGGAAGCCACTTTGTGATGAAATGTTTCCTCAAAGATACCCATGTGTTGTATGTGTATAATTTATCAACTACAGATGTCTCCCCAACACAGTCACCAGTGACCTGACCTCTCACTCCCCAGCAAACGCTACATGCCACAAACGCCCAACATCCTTCCCCACCACTAATATCCCCAAACACCCTTATGCCTCCACACCTGCTCACTTTCCCACATCATCTGTGCCAAACTTCCAATGAACTAAAATAAGTGTGATTGTGACACCACAACCAAGAGAATATATAATAGTGTACCGGCAGTCACAGTAGAAACATGCAGTTCCACAGATAGACAACATTGGAGTTATTACATACAGGCGAGCCCTGCTCTACAGCACTTCACTTTGTGGCATTTTGCTAATGCAGCGGTTTTTTAATTACACCCATTCTTCATTTATTCAGACTTCCTACAATAAATATGTTCACCACTTGCTGTAAGCAAAGAGCAAAAATATTTTAAGGTGTGTACTGCATATGCCTTTTCTTAGGCCTGGTTCTATTGCTCACTTAATATATGATAGTGTAAACACATTATCAGCTTTTATATGTAGCAAAGTGAAAGTTGTTTCACTTTACAGTAATAGATCAGAACCTAACCTGCTGTATAAGCGGGGCCCGCCTATGTTGTGGCGGTAACTGTGCAGAGGCAGTGATTTTTGAGAGACAAATTTTTTTGTGGTATTATATTCCAGACACCAGTAACACTATTGGCTTCATATACAATAAAAAAAAGTGCTAAAACCATGGATTATATAGCAACACTGACATCTGTGGTGCAATATACTGTACAGTAGGTTTTTAAGTAGATTGCAAATAAAAGGCAAGTGAAGAATATAAATTGAGTAGATTTATGTCTAGACACTGCTGGTGAACTGTGTGGTTAACATCATGCTTGTGTGTGCAAACTTGCTTCAAGAATTATCCCAGTGATTATATGTAAAACTGGAATCAAAATGTAGATAAAAAAAAAAACTAAAATACCCATGAATTTCTTGCATTAATTATACATTTCTTGGTGCTATGAAACACTGTATCAGAACCACAACCTCTTCCTCAGAGGTAATTTATTCTAATATATTAAATTGCTCTTATACACATTAAAATGTACCATAAACCTAAGTATTTTATAAAATATTTACATTAGAGCTGTCAAGGCTACCGCATACTTAAATATCTACGTAATGAAAAAACAATCAATCTTTTATATAAATATTACTGGTGTGTTAATAATAATAAAAATATCTGTATTAGAGGTTGAACAAAGTGCTACAGAAAAATATCAACCATAAAATTAGGACAAGATAAACCCAAGTGAAATATGGCAGTGTCAAGCAATATCTACAAAATTTCTCAAAATTTAATTGAATTTTAATAGGTTTGGTTTGTTTTGGAGTGAATGTTTTACCCTACTTAAAATTAATAAGAAATCGCACATGGGTATTACACAAGGAGGATTACTGCAATAGGCCTACTGGCCCAGGCTAAATAGGTTCTCCTGACCCTAACTGCCTTTACCCATATATCTGTAAGACATAGGCAACAGTTAGGCATCTTTATTCCGAAATGTAAAGACGACGTAATCATCGTCTTCACATCTCTACTGCTCCTGCTACTTTCAATGTACTCAACAGAAGAAGCCTACTGTGTAAGCGAAACGTTTCAGAAAAAGTTGCCTAACTGTTGCCTATGTGTCTTACTTGCCAACCTGTTGGTATTGTATTCCATTCTGATATTCACCCATATATTTGTCTAGCCTGTATTTAAAGCTACTCAAAGTGTATTAGTTAAAGGTTGCCAGAGCCAGTTTTTCCTAGTCAAGGATGTAAAGTCTGTTTTAACACACTAGCCATCTTTCACCAAGGTAGGGTGACCCAGAAGAGAGAACACTGTCTTGCCAGAAGTGTGCCAACATCGTAGTTTGCTTCTAGCAAGGGCTGAACGAGTGACAGTGAAAGTGCTTCATCTTATGGGTCACTCCACCATGGTGGGAGACAGCCGGTGTCAAAAATAAATTACGATGTTCGTTATAAACGGTGTGATTATGAAAATTTAAAACACTGTACCTCTCAAAGCTGTGTGAAGGAATGTTAAACATTTACTATCTATAGTTTTATACACATTCAACAACGTTAAACTCAGGTATTTTAACACCCACTTCCATATTGGTTATATTAGTGCTTGGGGAGTGGATGGCATTCTGATTCAATCCAAGAGAAGGAAAATGTCCAATTCCTTGGATGAAGAGCCCCTTACTGGCATCAAGAGAAATCCCTTGAGGGTATATCGGTTGAAAGCCATGCTAGGAGTGTCAAATTACACTTAAATAAGAGCAAGCACTTCAGTTACTGTACTTGAGTCTCTTATTAACATCCACTTTTCACAAGCAAGTAGGCATGCTATGGCATATGAATATATTTCAACAGTGAAATACAAGCAAAATTAATTTTAACATATGAAAAATAACATCTTTTTGAAAATTGAATCATAAATATAATTAAATTTTGCATAAATATACAAAATTAAAGAAATATAATGAAAGATTATTTCATAATACATGGTGTTCAAAAGGATTTATGGAGAATGCATATATTATTGCGAGCTACGTTTTTTTACATTTCAGTTATCAGATGTAAGAAAGGTGCTTATATTACTGCCGGTGGTTTAAGGCATCATACTGGTTTAGAAAGACACAAACAAACGCAAGGACACATTAGGAAAGGTTTCTAATGTGTCCCAGTGCTCACGTGTTTTTTTAAACCAATCTGTCGATATCAACTACCAAGACTCACGAAATCGTAATGACACGATTGCAAACAAACCATACCACGAGTTTTGAGACTCTCTGACCGAGGGTTCAATCCCGCCCGTGGTATGGTTTGTTCAACTACCAAGGTTCATACCAAGGAATGAAACTCCCTATGATAAGGAAATGGAGGAGTGGTTCTGAATAGATGAAGCCATGTTTTGTTTAGGAAGCTCCACATTCTCAAGGGTCAACTGGAAACCTCCAAGATTAGATTGCATTCTCCATGGGATGTCTTATTTTAAACACTTTGTATTAATGTATATTACTCTATTATTGCAAGAAGAATTATATAACAGATTTATAGTCAAAAATTTGATATTTTTTATAATTCAGCACATGTATACCTGCACTGTACTGTGTGTACTGCTGGTACTGAGGGTGGAAGTTGTGGATTGCATCTGTCATGATGTCTTTGGGGTTCATGGTTTCCTGGGAGTTAAAAAGACAAAACATAAGAATAAAAGAAACTAATAAGCTTGCATTATTGAAAATTACAACACTATTTAAATGCAGTTAATCAACAAGAGTTGTGTGTATTAGCTAATACAGCCTCTCCTCACTTAATGACAGTTACGTTCCTCAGACCACGTCGGTAAATGAATTCGTCGCTAAGTGAGGAGCATGCTATAATGGTAGTGGGTTTGTGTCAACCATCTTTGATATTGTTTTAATATTACCTCTGCACCATTTATAACATTTCTGATATATTTTTAAATGCTTATACAGTAGTGTACTGTACGTTGTAATAAACAGAATAGAGGAAATCAGATCTAATATACATTATTTAAGTACATATATAGGATAGCAGATGAACAAGGAGGCTTTAGGAAAGGTAGGGGGTGTGTGGACCAGGTGTTTACAGTGAAACATATAAGTGAACAGTATTTAGATAAGGCTAAAGAGGTCTTTGTGGCATTTATGGATTTGGAAAAGGCGTATGACAGGGTGGATAGGGGGGCAATGTGGCAGATGTTGCAAGTGTATGGTGTAGGAGGTAGGTTACTGAAAGCAGTGAAGAGTTTTTACGAGGATAGTGAGGCTCAAGTTAGAGTATGTAGGAAAGAGGGAAATTTTTTCCCAGTAAAAGTAGGCCTTAGACAAGGATGTGTGATGTCACCGTGGTTGTTTAATATATTTATAGATGGGGTTGTAAGAGAAGTAAATGCGAGGGTTTTGGCAAGAGGCGTGGAGTTAAAAGATAAAGAATCACACACAAAGTGGGAGTTGTCACAGCTGCTCTTTGCTGATGACACTGTGCTCTTGGGAGATTCTGAAGAGAAGTTGCAGAGATTGGTGGATGAATTTGGTAGGTGTGCAAAAGAAGAAAATTAAAGGTGAATACAGGAAAGAGTAAGGTTATGAGGATAACAAAAAGGATTAGGTGATGAAAGATTGAATATCAGATTGGAGGGAGAGAGTATGGAGGAGGTGAACGTATTCAGATATTTGGGAGTGGACGTGTCAGCGGATGGGTCTATGAAAGATGAGGTGAATCATAGAATTGATGAGGGAAAAAGAGTGAGTGGTGCACTTAGGAGTCTGTGGAGACAAAGAACTTGTCCTTGGAGGCAAAGAGGGGAATGTATGAGAGTATAGTTTTACCAACGCTCTTATATGGGTGTGAGGCGTGGGTGATGAATGTTGCAGCGAGGAGAAGGCTGGAGGCAGTGGAGATGTCATGTCTGAGGGCAATGTGTGGTGTGAATATAATGCAGAGAATTCGTAGTTTGGAAGTTAGGAGGAGGTGCGGGATTACCAAAACTGTTGTCCAGAGGGCTGAGGAAGGGTTGTTGAGGTGGTTCGGACATATAGAGAGAATGGAGCGAAACAGAGTGACTTCAAGAGTGTATCAGTCTGTAGTGGAAGGAAGGCGGGGTAGGGGTCGGCCTAGGAAAGGTTGGAGAGAGGGGGGTAAAGGAGGTTTTGTGTGCGAGGGGCTTGGACTTCCAGCAGGCATGCGTGAGCGTGTTTGATAGGAGTGAATGGAGACAAATGGTTTTTAATACTTGACATGCTGTTGGAGTGTGAGCAAAGTAACATTTATGAAGGGGTTCAGGTAAACCGGCAGGCCGGACTTGAGTCCTGGAGATGGGAAGTACAGTGCCTGCACTCTGAAGGAGGGGTGTTAATGTTGCAGTTTAAAAACTGTAGTGTAAAGCACCCTTCTGGCAAGACAGTGATGGAGTGAATGATGGTGAAAGTTTTTCTTTTTCGGGCCACCCTGCCTTGGTGGGAATCGGCCGGTGTGATAATAAAAAAAAAATAAAAATATGTATGCATTCTGGTCAGAGAGCCCGTCGTAAATCTGAAGCGTCAGTGAGCGTGTACGTTGCTAAGTGAGGAGAGGCTGTAGTGTGTGGATATAAAAATTAATAATGCAGGTGGTCCTCGACTTACAATGATTCAACTTTGGATATTTCAGTTTTACGATGGTGCAAAAGCAATTACTTTGGAGAATAGATGCGAGATAATTACCCAGTATGAAGGTGGCTGGTCTGTAACTTTTTTTTTTTTTTTTATTATCACACTGGCCGATTCCCACCAAGGCAGGGTGGCCCGAAAAAGAAAAACTTTCACCATCATTCACTCCATCACTGTCTTGCCAGAAGGGTGCTTTACACTACAGTTTTTAAACTGCAACATTAACACCCCTCCTTCAGAGTGCAGGCACTGTACTTCCCATCTCCAGGACTCAAGTCCGGCCTGCCGGTTTACCTGAACCCCTTCATAAATGTTACTTTGCTCACACTCCAACAGCATGTCAAGTATTAAAAACCATTTTGTCTCCATTCACTCCTATCAAACACGCTCACGCATGCCTGCTGGAAGTCCAAGCCCCTCGCACACAAAACCTCCTTTACCCCCCTCTCTCCAACCTTTCCTAGGCCGACCCCTACCCCCCTTCCTTCCACTACAGACTGATACACTCTTGAAGTCCTCTGTTTCGCTCCATTCTCTCTATATGTCCGAACCACCTCAACAACCCTTCCTCAGCCTCTGGACAACAGTTTTTGTAATCCCGCACCTCCTCCTAACTTCCAAACTACGAATTCTCTGCATTATATTCACACCACACATTGCTCTCAGACATGACATCTCCACTGCCTCCAGCCTTCTCCTCGCTGCAACATTCATCACCCATGCTTCACACCCATATAGAGCATTGGTAAAACTATACTCTCATACTTCCCCTCTTTGCCTCCAAGGACAAAGTTCTTTATCTCCACAGACTCCTAAGTGCACCACTACCCTTTTCCCCTCATCAATTCTATGATTCACCTCATCTTTCATAGACCCATTCCACTGACACGTCCCCTCCCAAATATCTGAATACATTCACCTCCTCCATACCTCCCCCCTCCAATCTGAATTCCAATCTTTCATCACCTAATCTTTTTGTTATCCTCATTACCTTACTCTTTTCTGTATTCACTTTTTTAAATTTTCTTCTTTTGCACACCCTACCAAATTCAAACCACCAATCTCTGCAACTTCTCTTCAGAATCTTCCAAGAGCACAGTGTCATCAGTAAAGAGCAACTGTGACAACTCCCACTTTATGTGTGTTTCTTTATCTTTTAACTCCACGCCTCTTGCCAAAACCCTCGCATTTACTTCTCTTACAACCCCATCTATAAATATATTAAACAACCACGGTGACATCACACATCCTTGTCTAAGGCCTACTTTTACTGGGAAATAATTTCCCTCTTTCCAACATACTCTAACTTGAGCCTCACTGTCCTCGTAAAAACTCTTCACTGCTTTCAGTAACCTACCTCCTACACCATACACCTGCAACATCTGCCACATTGCCCCCCCTATCCACCCTGTCATACGCCTTTTCCAAATTCATAAATGCCACAAAAACCTCTTTAGCCTTATCTAAATACTGTTCACTTATATGTTTCACTGTAAACACCTGGTCCACACACCCCCTACCTTTCGTAAAGCCTCCTTGTTCATCTGCTATCCTATTCTCCGTCTTACTCTTAATTATTTCAATAATAACTACCATACACTTTACCAGGTATACTCAACAGACTTATCCCCTATAATTTTTGCACTCTCTTTTGTCCCCTTTGCCTTTACACAAAGGAACTATGCATGCTCTCTGCCAATCCCTAGGTACCTTACCCTCTTCCATACATTTATTAAATAATTGCACCAACCACTCCAAAACTATATCCCCACCTGCTTTTAACATTTCTATCTTTATCCCATCAATCCTGGCTGCCTTACCCCCTTTCATTTTACCTACTGCCTCACGAACTTCCCCCACACTCACAACTGGCTCTTCCTCACTCCTACAAGATGTTATTCCTCCTTGCCCTATACACGAAATCACAGCTTCCCTATCTTCATCAACATTTAACAATTCCTCAAAATATTCCCTCCATCTTCCCAATACCTCTAACTCTCCATTTAATAACTCTCCTCTCCTATTTTTAACTGACAAATCCATTTGTTCTCTAGGCTTCCTTAACTTGTTAATCTCACTCCAAAACTTTTTTTTATTTTCAACAAAATTTGTTGACAACATCTCACCCACTCTCTCATTTGCTCTCTTTTTACATTGCTTCACTACTCTCTTAACCTCTCTCTTTTTCTCCATATACTCCTCCCTCCTTGCATCACTTCTACTTTGTAAAAACTTCTCATATGCTAACTTTTTCTCCCTTACTACTGTCTTTACATCATCATTCCACCAATCGCTCCTCTTCCCTCCTGCACCCACTTTCCTGTAACCACAAACTTCTGCTGAACACTCTAACATTACATTTTTAAACCTACCCCATACCTCTTCAACCCCATTGCCTATGCTCTCATTAGCCCATCTATCCTCCAATAGCTGTTTATATCTTACCCTAACTGCCTCCTCTTTTAGTTTATAAACCTTCACCTCTCTCTTCCCTGATGCTTCTATTCTCCTTGTATCCCATCTACCTTTTACTCTCAGTGTAGCTACAACTAGAAAGTGATCTGATATATCTGTGTCCCCTCTATAAACATGTACATCCTGAAGTCTACTCAACAGTCTTTTATCTACCAATACATAATCCAACAAACTACTGTCATTTTGCCCTACATCATATCTTGTATACTTATTTATCCTCTTTTTCTTAAAATATGTATTACCTATAACTAAACCCCTTTCTATACAAAGTTCAATCTAAGGGCTCCCATTATCATTTACACCTGGCACCCCAAACTTACCTACCACACCCTCTCTAAAAGTTTCTCCTACTTTAGCATTCAGGTCCCCTACCACAATTACTCTCTCACTTGGTTCAAAGGCTCCTATACATTCACTTAACATCTCCCAAAATCTCTCTCTCTCTCCTCTACATTCCTCTCTTCTCCAAGTGCATACACGCTTATTATGACCCACTTTTCGCATCCAACCTTTACTTTAATCCACATAATTCTTGAATTTACACATTCATATTCTCTTTCCTCCTTCCATAACTGATCCTTCAATATTACTGCTACCCCTTGTAACTTGTATTCATTTATTTACTTCTCAAAATACGTACTGTTATTTAGTTACAGTAATTAGTTGTTTATTTACTTATTCAGACAGTATTTTTTTTTTCTCAACACGTCAGTCATCTCCCACCGAGGCAGAGTGACCAAAAAAAAGACAAACACTTTCACCATCATTCACACATGATCATCGTCTTTGCAGAGGTGCCCAGATATGACAGTTTAGGTAATCAGGTCTGAGCATAAGAAGGCAGCTCAAATTCACTGCTAAGCACAGGGATATTCAAGTGCATTAGTAATTCAAATCAGACAACAGATGAGAATATAAATCGAGAGATGTCGATCTAAATTATTATTATAATCAAAAAGAAGCGCTAAAACTTTCTGATCCAAGTTATTTCTTTTTTTTTTTTTTTTTAAACACATTGGCTGCTTCCCACCAAGGCAGGATGACCAGAAAAAGAAACACTCATCATCACTCACTCCTATACATCAATACATTCTCCTTTTTCAAATAGCATTACTGTATCTGGATTTATTAATACATTTCCATTATACAAAATATTTAGTGTAGTAGTAGGTTGGTAGACAGCAACCGCCCAGGGAGGTACTACCATACCATCCTGCCAAGTGAGTGTAAAACGAAAGTCTGTAATTGTTTTACATGATGGTAGGATTGCTGGTGTCCTTTTTTCTGTCTCATGAAAATGCAAGATTTCAGGTACGTCTTGCTACTTCTACTTACACTTAGGTCACACTACACATACATGTACAAGCATATATATACACACATCTCTGGGTTTTCTTCTATTTTCTTTCTAGTTCTTATTCTTGTTTATTTTCTCTTATCTCCATGGGGAAGTGGAACAGAATTCTTCCTCTGTAAGTCATGCGTGTTGTAAGAGGCGACTAAAATGCCAGGAGCAAGGGGCTAGTAACCCCTTCTCCTGTATATATTACTAAATGTAAAAAGAGAAACTTTCGTTTTTCTTTTTGGGCTGATCCACCAGGAGGCCTGGTCACAGACCGGGCCGCGGGGGCATTGACCCCCGAAACTCTCTCCAGGTAAACTCCAGGTAAAACCCCTGCCTTGGTGGGATATGGCCAGTTTGTTGGAAAAAAAAAAATTAGTGACAGAAGGCATCAAAAGATTTGTTAGATAGCAAAGTTCTTGTACAGTACCTTCAGCGAGGATGAAATGCTCTGCATAGTAACGCTGCGGCCAGGCCCAGTCACAGTAAAGTCGCCATAGATTTGGTAAGGGAAGGCATAACGAAGAGCCACTGAAGCAAAGAACATTTCTACACAAATGATAAAATTCTGGTAGCCTGCAGGAAACTGTGCCATTGTTGAGGTTGGGGTTACCCTCAATAACTTTGCCCTTTTCAAGAATAGCCAAGAGAACTCCTGAAATTAAATTCATGACATTAATTTCACTTAGTGGGAAATATTTTCAAATAAAATGCCTGACATTTATGAAACAAAATTTTCACTAATACACATGTACTTTATTCTTTTTTTTAATTAGAACTGTGTATGGTTGATAATGAGAGTGAAATGAAAGACGTTAGTAAGTGAGAATGAACCTTTACAATCAGTAAAATGAGGCGAGAGAATCTAGTAATCATTCATGTAGATAAATGGTTCAAAGAACTGACAAGTTGATGAATTACACACATGTACAACACTTGGGTATCTTTAGTGAAGAAACTTTTTGCCACACAGTGGCTTCAACAGTCCTTTAAAAAGAAGAATGGTGAATATCAGAACGAGGTTGAGGTAATCAGTCCCTTAGCCTGGAGTGGACGTCATCAGTCCATCAATCTTGAAAAGAATACAGCATATGCGCAAAGAAGTGGCTTATATACTGTAAATAGGCAGGTGAAGCAGTTGTAGGCGATATTACACTGGACAATCCAGAGGTGGAAGTAGGCCCGACAAATGTAGATAAATGGTTCAGAGAATTGACAAACATTCCCACCCCTCCTTAGAGTGCGGGTACTGATAGTAATATCACTGAAGACATTCATAATTTTGAGAAGTGGCCAAATAGTGACACTCAAATAGGTCATACAAGTAATGAAAACATTGATGACACTGCCAAGACTAAGAATACCATCAGGTTTTACTATAGAAAACAGCTCTCCCCCACAGTATTTCCTGCTCATGAAAAGAAAATACCAGGTAGATGTTATGTCTTATTACACCACACAAAGGCAGTAAAGGAGAAAAAGACTTACAATACATGTGTGAGCAATGTGAAGCACCATCCTGACTGATGCCTTGTTTCAAATATCTAAATACACACTACAGCAGTTTATTTCTTTTCTCTCAACACATCGGCCATCTCCCACTGAAGCAGGGTGACCCAAAAACACAAAAAGAAAGAACAGCAGTTCTAGGAACATTATCAGCATCTGTAAATTGTGTACATATCTAATGAAACATTACAAACAAGAAATACAAATGAAGTTATATATTTTTAATGACTGAATATGATGCAAATAATGTGATTCACAAAATTATAATTGGAAACTGAATGAAACAACAAGCAAGTAATGATGGTGCCTTGAGGGGACTTGAGCTAATTGTCGACCGACACTGGCAGGAGAGTCATCTGAAAACTTGCATCATGGTCAAGTGGTGGCCATGATAACCTCCCGATGGTGTATAATTATACCTAGTTGGACGGATCTTATTGTAGCCAGCTGACCTGGAGTTTTACCACTCACTTGCCATGGGTTCAAAAAAGTACAAGTGACTTATTTCCACTGGGGTTCTTGCCAGCGTCCATCAACATTATATTTCTATTCATATCGTAATAATGTTGTAGAAATTACCAACAATTACAGTGACCCGCATAACGATTACCTCCGAATAGCGACCATTAGTAAGTGTATTTATAATGCGTTTACTGTTGTTTGGGTTCTGAAATGGACAATTACTTACAATATTCCTATGGGATCAATTCCGGTCCTCAGTACTGCACTTAACATACTTATGGAGTGAAAAAATATCATTAACCGGGGTCCACTGTATTAGGTAAAGAACACATGTGCAACTAATGTGGCAATAAAATGTCGCATTAGTTGCATATGCATTGAAAAAACAAAGAAAAAGTTGAAAAATCCTCATTTACATTATTACTCATAGAATGACCGGGTCTGATGCCATATTCACCGCCAAAAAACCCAACTTTACAGCTCTATTTCAATTTTTTTTATTACCACTAGAAAACAATGTAACCAGTAAGGCCTGGCTGTGGCTAAAGCTCCGCTTCACACACGGTGGGCCCGGTTCGTCCGGCGGGGAAACATTTCGACAGGGTTTCCCACACTGTTTCCTGTTCACTGCACAAATAGTACTGGTGTTAGTCGACTCTGTGGTCGCATCCTGGGGACAAGTGAGACCCCATGGAAATACGTTAACATCCTCGATACGCACATGCTTTCTGGGTTTTCCTGGGTGGCTAACCTCCGGGGTTAAAAACGAACAAACTTATCTTGTTTTCTTACACCCACGAGGAACGAAGGTACCAAGTTAATTTGAAATAAAAACAACCGTTCTTTCTTGGAAGAGATGCCTTCCTACCATCAAAGACATCTCTCTTTCTTCTGAAGGATTAAATGAAGATTTTAACAACTTGATTTCTGGAACACCTGCCAAACGATAAAAAGATGACCGATTTTATGGTAAAAAACTTGAGTAGAGGCTCGTAGGGTTGCAGCAAGTCTCTCGTGGCAAAATAGAAGAGGAATAAACTGTACAGGGCCAGTGACACTGAGATGTTGTATATTATGGTGATGTAGAGGTAACCACCTTCAGGACTGTTAAGCAGAAAATAATGAAATTATTTAGTATACTAGTAATAACTTCTGTATAAATTACTAAATTTAAAAAGAAAAACTTTTGTTTTTCTTTTTAGGACACCCTGCCTTGGTGGGATATGGCTGGTGTTTGAAAAAAAAAAAATTCAAATATACTGTAGTGACATTGTACAAAATTAATAAGCTTACATAGAAACATGGGAGGCAGGACAAGGCTGGATATTAGAAACTTTGAATTCTATTAAAACATTAGAGCCTACTTAATGAAAATACAGTAATTTGCAATTTACCAAAAACTGTAAACTCAACAAAATTCTACAGTAAAATGGAATGGGCTACAAAGAGAAGGCAGCAAGTGCTGCACTATTGGCAATTTTCAACAATTATGATGGTTATAAACATGAAACTCCCGGAAACCCCAAAGATTAGCTAGCTGTAAATGTCTAATCATAGTTTAGACTGTCAATAAGAATAAAGGGGAAGGGGCCAGGAACTGCAACCACCCTTTCAAACTACTAAGAATACATGTGTACATAACTAGGCAATTTTCATTTTATGAATCAATTTGTTCATCCTTCATCTTTATTTGAATCATTGTACTCCTACCCACCGTTTAAATACCAGACGTCTCACATCTTGAGGCGACTTTTTCTTCATCCATAATCGTTTATTCGTGTTTGCACATTCACCCCCCCCCCTGCTGTGCCTCTTGGGTAATATGATAGGTAAATATTGTGGGGGAGAGGAAGGATAGCAAGGATTTTAATGGTCCACCTAACACTACCTAGACCTATATGAGGTGCCTGGGTAAAGTAATTTGAAACTGGGTAACTGATTACATCTAGAAAATTTTATGTTTGAAAAAGTACATGACATGCAATGCTTTAAGTGAGCCAATACTACTTACCTCCAGTCACCATCCTGGTATCTGCCAAGGAACTGCAAAATTATAGTAATAAATGCCATAAGAGGCTTGACCAAACAGAACTGAAGTGTGGCTTGCTTGCAGAACCTAAGAAGCCCAATTGTGTATGTCTTCCCAACAAGACAACATGTTCCATACATACATGACGATCTGGAAAAGAATATGAAGATAATTAAAAAAAAAAAAATACAGGTGTAATCAAGCATTAGTCTAACTCATGCCCTAACTTTTGATAGTGCTGCCAGAGCACAGCCCTGGGCCAGGCTTCCCACCTCAACCCTTACCCTAAATAATAACATTTGAAGTAACAGTAATTCTTCTAATGCCATTAATAAAAGGCATAAGTAACAAATTTCCTTTTATGATAACTATGTTAATAGTTAATGCACAATGCACAAATAATCCGCACATAGGAGAAAAACCTATGACGATATTTCACTCCGACTTGGACCATTAACTAGCCCCCACGTACAGGTTATTTGTGCAGTGCTCCAGTCACAGTACTGTGCCTTTTTATTCTTTATTATTACACAATATAAAGACAAGTACATAACTTACCTAATAGGTTTCCCTCTGATCTCACTCATGATGTTCCCTTCACCACCTAGGTACTCGTAGCAAAGACTTAAGAAGTTGTAGATTACAAATGCTGTTAAAAGTAAAGCAAGCTATTAGCCGGGGGAAAATGGGTTGCGAAGATATTTTAAATAACGTGGATCCAAACCAGTGCCTTGAAAGGATCAACTTTGTGGCAGATGAAGTATGCTCAAGGCATATTCCCCTAAGAAAAAGAAGTTAACTGTATATTTTAGTCTACTTGTATTTCATGAAGCTTTAAACCCATGAGAGCTATCCAATGCTAGGAATGTGAAGACGTTTGCACAACACTCTGGTGTCCTGGTGGTTAACGCTCTCGCTTCACACGGTGAGGGCCTGGGTTCGATTCTCAGCCAGAGTAGAAACATTGGACATGTTTCTTTCCACCTGTTGTCTATGTTCCCCATCAGTAAAATGGGTACCTGGGTGTTAGTCGACTGGTGTGGGTCGCATCCTGGGACACTGACCTAAGGAGGCCTGGTCACAGACCGGGCCGCGGGGGCGTTGACCCCCGGAACTCTCTCCAGGTAAACTCTCCAGGTAAACACTTGGGTATTTTTATTGAGGAAATGTTCTGCCAACTAATACCTTTATCATTCAGGCCTGTAGGGGGGGGAGGGAGGATGAAAGGCATTCAGGCTTTATTCAGGGAAGTGGAGCACAGATCCAAATTCCTAGATCAAGAGCCCGTCACCAACATCAAGGAACCTCCCTTGAGGGGCCAAACGCACAAAACCAGTGCAAGATGTGAAGGAATGTGAGGCATTCAGTTCCTCAGTTTTCCTTAAATGCCATCCTCACATCCTACAGTGTTTTTCTGTTTTGGATTAATAAAGCCACTGGCTAGCAAAATGGTCCCTGTCAGTTCTCTGACCCACATATATAGTAATGCTAGGAATGGTGGAGGATTTTTTTTGCTTCCATCTGCTAATCTCAGCCCAGTATCTGACCAGTCAGGCCATTGATAACACTGACCAACAAAGGTTTCAGTTCAGGTTTAAAAATGTGTTACTAATTTAGCAATGATGAATTCAAATCTGAACCTAGGTTTGTGCCAACATGTACAGTTTGTGAAATAGAACCCCATGGAGAAGATATCAAGGAAAGTTAATTATCAGCTTAATGGTTGACTACTGCTGGGCACTGGTGCATGACAACCATAATGAACTTGTGAAAAAGCCTGAAAACTGATGTAAATATATTTGTATGACGGGAAATTTCTTATTTTTGTTTATATATATACAGTATATAATGAATTTAGTTTTATCACTGCACGTATCTCCCCACTCATCATAGATCCAAACTTACTCCCTGTTCAGAACATCCACACTTACTACTGTGCAATCTACATCTACAGGACCTAAAACACTTTCTTGATAGTTGTGACAGGACCCACAGGCATAACACCAGACACAAACATCTCTATGACATTCTCCGTGTCCGACTAAACCTTTACAAAAATTCTATGTATGTCAAAGGCCCTAAAATCTGGAACACCCTACCTGAAAACTCTAGAACTGCAGACACATTCATCACCTTCAAAAGTACTGTTAGAAAACATCTTATCTCCCTGATACACCCTGTCAACTAACTACATGAAAACCACCTGGTGGTTCACACTTACACTCACTCACCCATTTGACTATAAAAACAGAAATACGAATCTTAATCTTAAAATAATGAATCCTAACTAGCCATATGTTTGCCTGTGATACTCCAATATAGAAACTATGTATTGTGCCAAAACAAAAGCATTTACATTGCTAAACTCACAAACTATAATTTAGTCACTTAGCCATAATACCAACTAACTCCATAATTTGTAATAATTTAGAGTTAAGAATTAATCGAAGTCTGCCTGAAATGCCTAGCCATACTAGGTGTCCTAGTGGCTCCCTCTGTAATTAGTATTTTATAACATGTAAACCACACAATATCCAAAATCTGTAAACCCCGTATTGTAATCCATATAGAGAATAAACTTGATTGACTGATAATCTTCAACACACCGGCCGTATCCCACCAAGGCGGGGTGCCCAAAAGGAAAAAACGAAAGTTTCTCCTTTTACATTTAGTAATATATACAGGAGAAGGGGTTACTAGCCCCTTGCTCCTGGCATCTTAGTCGCCTCCTACAACACACATGGCTTATGGAGGAAGAATTCTGTTCCACTTCCCCGTGGAGGCAAGAGGAAATAAACAAGGACAAGAACTAGAAAGAAAACCCAGGAGGGGTGTGTGTATATATATGCTTGTACATGTATGTGTAGTGTGACCTAAGTGTAAGCAGAAGTAGCAAGAGGTATCTGAAATCTTGCATGTTTACGAGACAGAAAAATGGACACCAGCAATCCTATCATGGAAAACAATTACACGCTTTCGTTTTACACTCACTTGGCAGGAAGGTAGTACCTCCCTGGGCGGTTGCTGTCTACCAACCTACTACCTTTATGATTGACAATATCTTCGTGCGTGCGTGAGCGTGTTTGATAGGAGTGAATGGAGACAAATGGTTTTTAATACTTGACGTGCTGTTGGAGTGTGAGCAAAGTAACATTTATGAAGGGGTTCAGGGAAACCGGCAGGCCGGACTTGAGTCCTGGAGATGGGAAGTACAGTGCCTGCACTCTGAAGGAGGGGTGTTAATGTTGCAGTTTAAAAACTGTAGTGTAAAGCACCCTTCTGGCAAGACAGTGATGGAGTGAATGATGGTGAAAGTTTTTCTTTTTCGGGCCACCCTGCCTTGGTGGGAATCGGCCAGTGTGATAATAATAATAATAATAATAATAATAATATCTTCGTATAATACAAAATCTATAATTATTAAGTTATGTGGGGTTCTTCAACATTAACCCATAAACGGTCCAAACGTATATATACATTCTCTCGCGTAGTGCCCCAAACGTATATATACGTTTCCTTTGTCATTCATTCAACATTGGCACGATAAGCCTGGGTCACCTAGACGTTAGAGAATGGGTGTGCGCACTCACTGTGCGCCATATGAAAAAAATTGGGGACGCTTGGGTACCATATGCTCTTTTTTCCTATTAAAAAAAGCTATTTTTTTTCTCAAAAAACTTGGGGCGCTATGTGAGAGAACATATATATATTTGGACTGTTTAAGGGTTAAGTGGCCATAATATTGATCACAAGTCCACCCCCCCCCCAAAGAAAAAAAAAATTATTTGTCAGAATAAACTTAGATTCATGATCAGCTCATCAAAGTTAGTTTAAAACAACCAATTTGCTTTCTGAACTGGATAACAAGATAAATTTTGTTGACAATAAGATTCTATCATAGGCTACAATTGAATACATGTTGATCCAATGGCTTTCTTTTAATAAAGATGCTCCTGTACCGAGTTTTAATACAGTGAAACCCTGGGTTTTGGCCGCCCTGGGATTGACTGCTTCGGGTTTCACCCACTTTTTTCGGCCAAATTTTGTTCTGCATCTCAGCTGTTGCCCCGGATTTCGGCCGGCGTACCAAACCTGTCTGCCTGCCCACGCTTGCGCGTCTGTCTGCACAGGCATCGTCAGCCAGTCTAGCGTTGTTTATCCTTGAGCGAACATTACCCTATGCTCTCAACCTGCCAGCCAGGGAGCCATCCAGACAGCCAGCCAGGAAGCCATCTAGCCAGCCAGGCAGGCAGCCAGCCATCCAGCTAGCCAGCCAGGCACCCAGCCAGCCATCCAGCTAGCCAGCCAGGCACCCAGCCAGCCATCCAGCTAGCCAGCCAGGCATCCAGCTAGCCAGCCAGGCACCCAGCCAGTCATCCAGCTAGCCGTTAATTGTGACTGAAAAGTGTGCAAAGTGGAATGAGTTGCAAACTTTTGTTGCCATATCTGCAACGTTTTCAGTGACAAAACCTTGTCCTACTTCAGGAAAATTATAGAGACGCCAGAAACAGAGCACTCGACAGTTATTTTGCGAGACGGGTCCAGTGACTCAAGCTGGTCCTAGTGACCTTAAAAGACAAAGAAGGGAAGTAACCCCAGATAAGGATTTGTTACCTGAAGTCTTTATGGAAAGGGATTCCCCTTCCAAACAACAAGTCCTCCCTCTTTCCTCCTCCCTATTTTCCAGATGCCAACAAGTCTCTTCAATAAAGGTAAGTAATTGTTATTTTATATGTTTATTTAAGTTTTAATTTATCTATATAATATACATATATGTATTTATCTGTGTTGTATGTAAAACTATAGTTATTATTTAAAAAATGTATTCTTTGTGAATATTTTTGTGAGTCTGGAACGGATTTATTTTATTTACATTATTTCCTATGGGAAAACTGCTTCGCCTTTTGGCCGTTTCACGTTTAGGCCTAGCTCCTGGAATGGATTATGGTCGAAACCCGGGGTTTCACTGTACTGATATTCCAAAATTACAGTAAGAGTACCTGGATGCTACAACACATGATAATAGCAAGAAAAATGACAGGAGGATATAAAGTTTTTAATGGGATAATTTATTTTGCTAGAATCTTTCCCCTGTAAGTTGTGAGTGTCATAAGAGGAGACTAAACTGCTGGGAGCAAGGTGCTAGTAACCTCCTTCTATATAAACTACTAAATTTCCAGGAGCAAGGGGCTATTACCCATCTGCATAAATTACTAAATGCTGGGAGCAAGGAGCTAGTAACTAATTTTGTATAAATTACTAAATGCCAGAATCAAGGTGCTAGTAACACCTTCTCCTTTATAAATTACTAAATGCCAGAAGCAAAGGGCTTTATCTTTGATATACCTTTGAAGAGTGGTGGTTAACGCTCTCGCTTCACACGGTGAGGGCCTGGGTTCGATTCCCAGCCAGAGTAGAAACATTGGACGTGTTTCTTTCCACCTGTTGTCTATGTTCCCCATCAGTAAAATGGGTACCTGGGTGTTAGTCGACTGGTGTGGGTCGCATCCTGGGACACTGACCTAAGGAGGCCTGGTCACAGACCGGGCCGCGGGGGCATTGACCCCCGGAACTCTCTCCAGATAAACTCTCCAGAAACTCTCAGAGCCTGGCCATGGGCCAGGCTTGTCTGGTGCTTTCCTGATCAACCAGGCTGTTGCTGCTGGAGGCCCACTGCCCCATGTATCCATCAAAGCCTGGCTGATCTGGTACCTGGTGAAGATGGTTGTCCAGTTTCCTCTTGAAAGCTTCTACACTTGTTCCAGCCGTATTTCTGATATCTTCTGGTAAGATGTTGAATAGTCTGGGACCCTGGATGCTGATACAGTGTTCCCTTACTGTTCCCATCTCACCCCTACTCCTCACTGGGTTCACTTTACATTATTTCCCTAGTTTTGAAAGTTCTCAATACCAACCCCATCATCTTCCTGGCTGTAACACCTCCTGTATAAATTACTAAATGTAAAAAGAAAAGCTTTATAAGGTTTTCTTTTTTGAGTCACCCAGCCTCAGTGGGAGATGACCGGCATGTTGAAAAAAAAAAATTGTTTTGTCGTACAGAACTCTGACAAGTCAGATTTGATAAAAACTGTACACAGAGCAAAACTCGCAATAAAAGCTTGCTCTGCACCTATGTCTTTCTTAATTACAATACCTATTCAATTAAAAATTTTCATGAAATATAGAGCATAGAAGCAATTTTAGTATATTAATGATTTACAATCAGCTGGTCACTATCTTGAACGGACATGGGATGCACAATAAACTAGCCACTACCATCCACAGGACAGACATGGGATGCACAATAAACTAGCCACTACCATCCACAGGACAGACATGGGATGCACAATAAACTAGCCATTACCATCCACAGGACGGACATGGGATGCACAATAAACTAGTCATTACCATCCACAGGACAGACATGGGATGCACAATAAACTAGTCACTACCATCCACAGGATGGATATAGGGTGTACAATAAACTAGCCACTACCATCCATAGGACAGAAAGGATGCATAATAAACTAGTCACTACCATCCCCAAGATGAATATAGGGTGCACAATAAACTAGCCACTACCATCCACAAGATGGACAAGGGATGCACAATAAACTAATCACTACCATCCGCAGGATGGATATAGGGTGTACAACAAATTAGCCACAGCCATCCACAGGACGGACATGGGATGCACAATGAACTAGCAACTACCATCCACAAGATGGATATGGGGTATACAATAAACTAGCCACTACCATCCACAGGAGAGATATGGGGTGCACAATAAACTAGCCACTACCATCCACAGGAGAGATATGGGGTGCACAATAAACTAGCCACTACCATCCACAGGAGAGATATGGGGTGCACAATAAACTAGCCACTTCAGTGGCAAACTCTACCTTTACAACCAACTCAATAAATTTAAACAAGCTATTGTGCAATTAACATGTTTAATTATCAAACATTCTCATTTTTCATAGTAATACAGTAAATGCTTAATTCCACGCACCTTCATAACAGTCCCTGACAGTATCAAAGTAAATATAATAATTGTCCTTGTTGAAGAAAAGTAGGGAGAGCCAGGAATCAAATGCATATATAGGCACGAACAACAAAATCCGCACAATCCATCTCTGCTCAGCTGGGTTGCTGTAGTACCGAAGGTGTTGGTATATCTGAAAAAAAAAAATTAACAATATAATATGCTGATATTAAACACTTGCAAAATGTGATGACTGTTACTGCAGGTTAAATAATTTACAAAACATTGCCTGTTTATTATGGAGTTTTTTAATAACATTGTTTACATTAACAATAACCGAGCCATCATTACCAATTTTTCCCTACTATATCTAATGCAATAAATTTTCAGCTATTATATCTGCTATCACCATTTCACTGGCAGAGTAAAATTGTCACAATACACTCAAATATTTTTTTTTTTTATTTCAGCATGATATGTTTGTAGAGATGAAGGACATTAGCTGTGCATGCAGCAAGCACAGTTATACAAAACATTTTGAACAAGCTTAGGTATTGTCGAAGCTTAACCCTTTCAGGGTCCTTCCCGTAGATCTACGGCTTTACGTTCAGGGTCCAAACCGTAGATCTACGCCATGAGCTCAGCTCACTCTGATAAACTGTGAGTGGTACATTTGGGCCTAGATATGAAAGAATACATCTATGTGGTATGTGTGCACCACATAAAACAGATCCTGCAGCACACTGTGTATAATGAGAGAAAAAAAAATGAAATCATGATTTTTCGATTAAAACAGCAACTTTGCAGTGTTTTTTCGTATGTTTTTTATAGTTGTATTTGCGATTTCTTGGTCTCATTTGATAGAATGGAAGACATATTACAGAAATAGAGATGATTTTGATTGGTTTTAGCACTGGAAATGGCTTGAAACTGAGCTCAAAGTAGCAGAAATGTTAAATTTTTGCCGATATTCAAGAGTAAACAAACGACCTCACACGTCTAATACACGTCAGCTGGTGGGTCTAATATACATTCACAAATATGGTGATGATATTTATACAATTATTACAGTATTGCATAACAGTAAATCTTCTATTTTTTGGTGAATAAAAATTCATTATGTGAATAAAAAATCAAAATGGAATTTATTTGTAAAGCCTCAAAACATAACTAATGAACAGAGGAAATGTTAGTTTAGTGCCAGGAATGCCTACATTGTTCATTCTGGACCCTATTTTGAAATTGGAATATTTTGAACTTTGTGTTAAATTGGCCAAATTAACAATTTCCGATCACTTTATTTTGTAGTTGAAACAGTTGACTTGGCGATTTCTTGTGTTCAATCGATAGAATAGAAGTAATACTAGTGAAATAGCTAAGAATTTGGTTGATTGGAATAATGTAATTGGCCTAAAATGGGAGTCAAAGTCGGCAAAATCGCCGATTCGTAAATATCGCTGACATCAAAATTCGCGAGAGCATAATGTCAATTTTCCACCAAATTTCGTACTTTTTGTTTTATTACCTTCACAAAAAGATTCTCTACGATTTCATAAGAAAAAATAACAAATTTTTTTTTTTAAATTCTTGGACACTGGTGCGTGACTCCAGATTTGGGCCTTGGACCCTGAAAGGGTTAAACCATACCCATTTTTTCTGCAAAAGTTCTGTGGCTACAAGTCAACAAATTCCACAGGGGATATCCCCAATATTTAAAATGAAAAATAGGCTGCTGGACTACAGCATAAAAGTTATCTTTAGTTAACTAAGACAAGGAATTCAAATACAGACTACAGAAAATGTATATACAAAGCTTTCTGATGGTTACCAATTTGCAAACCATTTCTACAAGGATTTTCAACTTTGAAACGAATCATTTGCAAAGGACACAACAGTAAAAATGATAGTTATGCATCATGTCCATACTGTAGCTTAGCCGTTGCAAAGCTTAATTTGGTTAAGTGCAGACCTATTATAATTTCAATTTGGGCATATCTTGTATGGTAGATATATGAAGACTTGAGTTTATTTAGGTATATGTACACAAGTGCAATTATCATGCCTAACATGTAAATTACCTAGGATAACCCCAAAAAGTCAGATGTACAGTAAGTCAGCCTATAGGGACATGATTTCTGAGAGATAATGGGAGCAATAGAGCAGACATCTCTCACATCTTTGGTGTACAAATGAAAGAACAGGTAAGCATAGCAATGACATGATGTCAGCACTAAGTGATGCTGTTGGTCTACCCTGGCAATACTAAACTATACAAAAGGTAGGCTTACAAAATTGCATGTGCTTTTATGTTGGAAGATACTGAAACATTAGTAAAGCCACTGCCTGAGCTCGGACAGGTTTTACTCAAGATACCTCATGAGCCAAAATGGACAAGACCCGGTGCCAGGACTATGCCAGTGAATCAAACAGGAACAGGATTAAATGTAAATGCCAACCACGAGCACAGCTGGCACACCCAATTAGGCGAACAAGCTGCTGTCTAGAGAGGCAACGTTTGAGAAGCAGCAGCAGGAAATGTGCTTTAATTTTTCATTCGGAATAATTATAAATACTACTTTATTTGCGATATACCTGTGGCTAATTTCGATAGTTTATATTCCTGCAGCCTGCTAGCCATGGGCCAGGCTTGTCTGGCGCTTTTCTGGCCAACTAGGATGTTGGCAACTCACTGGCCCACAATCCATCATAGCCTGGCTTCTACTGCACACAATCAGTAAATTGGGCACTGGAAGATAGTTAAAAAAGAAACTTGCAAGGAGTGCCAAATACCCTTGATCTGATACAGATTTTAAGCACTATCAGGCTGACTGTCAATCAATAAGCCCATGTCAGATATTGAGCTGCAGGAGGAAATAGAGGGGTATGAGGGAGCAATCTCCCTAATCCAAGGAAGCATTTCAAGGTAGATACGTGAGGGGGGGGGGGGGGGGGGAAAATGAGTAAGATGAGAGTGGAAGAAAGGCGGAGACTGTGGGGGTTGGGGAGTGAGGAAAGGTAGTGGAGATTGTGGATGGGGAAAAGTGGTGGAGATTGTGGGTGAGGAAAAGTGGTAGAGATTGTGGGTGAGGAAAAGTGGTGGAGATTGTGGGTGAGGAAAAGTGGTGGAGATTGTGGGTGAGGAAAAGTGGTGGAGATTGTGGGTGAGGAAAAGTGGTGGGGATTGTGGGGTTGGGGAAAGGTGGGAAGCTGTGGGGTTGGAGTGGGAAGTTGTGGGGATTGGAGTGGGGGAAAAGTGGGAAGTTGTGAGGTTAGAGTGGGGAAAGGTGGGAAGTTGTGGGGTTGGAGTGGGGAAAGGTGGGAAGTTGTGGGGTTGGATTGGGGAAAAGTGGGAGGTTGTGGGGTTGAGTGGCTGGATAATGATCGTTGTCATAGTAACATCAGAAGCAACAGGTGTGGAGGGAGTTACTGCTGCATACCTCAACACACACCCACCCACCTACGCAGCCTTTGATTCTCAAATGAAACTACTGTTATATCTGACCTAATAATGCGATGCCCTTGTAATAAGATTACACAGCCATATATTATGTTAATGCATGCAGGAAAACGCTTATATGTACATTCTGTTAGTTTTCTCGTTCAGGTTCCCCGATTATGGTGTCTGTGTGCGGCTAACATCATGATAAAAGGGATAAAAGTGCAACTAAAGTGACATTTTATTGTGGCAACGTTTCACTCTCCAGGAGCTTTGTCAAGCAGTAACGGCTTAACACTGTCGGTAATTCTACCAACATTAATAACATCAATATGATAAATAAGACATGTGGAACTCTTGGGTATCTTTATTGAGGAAACGTTTCGCCACACAGTGGCTTCATCAGTCCATACAAAGGAGAATCTTGAAGAACAGGAGGAGATGGAGGTAATCAGTCCCTCAACCTTGAGTCGATGTGGCCAGTCCATCAATCTTGAATAGAATACGGCATATGTGCGGAGAAGCTTATAAACCGTATGGCAGGAGAGGTGCAGCAGTCGTAGGTGGTGTTACATTTGTCCAATGTGGAAGTAGGTCGTGTCCAAAGGTTAGGCAAGCGAAGAATTCCCAAGTATTAAGATCCCAAGAAGTTGCAGTGTCTGACAGGATTGTAGATGAATGGTTCAGAGAACCGACACGTTGATATATTAGACACATGTGCAACTCTTGGGTATCTTTATTGAGGAAACGTTTCGCCACACAGTGGCTTCATCAGTCCATACAAAGGAGAAACTTGAAGAACAGAACTGATGTATGGACTGATGAAGCCACTGTGTGGCGAAACGTTTCCTCAATAAAGATACCCAAGAGTTGCACATGTGTCTAATTTATCAACGTGTCGGTTCTCTGAACCATTCATCTACAAACATCAACATCCTTATTAACGAGGCTATCAAACAAAGAGGATGACCTAAGACTGATGTGAAACATTACAAAGATTCGTTCCTGACTCTCTACTATACGGGAAGTCTGAGGCGGACTGCCCATACGGGTACTTGGACAGTGATGGTAAGACTCATATTCAACAGTCACTTGGACAATGACTTTGTAAATGGTCAAAGTCGGTCCGAAACGTCGTCGTAAGCTCCTCTCTCCTACGTGCGGGTTATTGTGTATTATGTATGATTGAAACTAAAATGGAACGCGTCTTAGTAGTTAATGAGCCGACCTGAGAGGTGACTAATGCCTGGACTGGTTTTTAAGACCCAGTCTGCTTCTGCATTTATTCCTCACCTAACGTCGTCGACAGGTTCTTGGAAACTGCGACTAAGTGAAACGACGTATAACAAAACCAATTTTATCATAGGCTAATTAATATAAAGAAGAAATAAGTTCCTAAGGCCAAAGATAGTGGTGCTGCAGACGCCATGACTATGGAGTATGTCGCTCTGGGTTGCTATTAAGTCGTATATTTATTATTAACATGTTATCATTTTAGGCATCAAATGTTCACTATTATATATGAAATACGCTACATAATAAAAACCGAATACAAACATCCATAAGGGAGGAAATTGACAGCGAGCATGGAGTTACGACGATGCATGTCCTCCATCCAGATATTTTTAAGTCTTTCCATAATTTTTCATTCCTGGCCGGGAATTTTTTTTTCTCATCAAAGTTATAATGAAACGACACTGAGGACTTCCTATATGTTCATAAACTATTCATGGATGAAAGTCGTAATATTTCACTGC